GTCAGCTACCTCTCTCATGCGCTCGACATAGTCGACTACTCCGTCACAGGTAGCGAGGGTGATGGAGAAATATTCTTGGAAGAGAATGCCAACCGAGCTGATGTCGCGACGCTCAAACATAGCATGAAGCTCTGCCTAAATCACCAAGGCACGGAGTTCCAGAGCCTGGAAGCGGCGCATGAGGGAGTCAATGAGAGCACCAAGGAGGGCGGTGCAGGCGCGGTTGTCAGCGGCTGACCAGGCGATGAGCTTCGGAGTGAAGGATATCATTTCTTCATAGTATTTGGCAACGACGGCTAGGTGAGCGTTACGTCCGGTAACTGCCTGGGCGTAGTCGTTAGCTGCGGCGTCGTAGTCAACTTTACGGATGAGGTATTCACGGTAACGCAGAAGAAAGTCTGCATCTGCAGTAGCTTGGAGAGTAGGGCCTGTGGTGATCTGGAGTTCGGGTTCAGGAGAAGGAGAGCCAGGAGAGGGAGGGAGAGGAGGGGTCTCGTTGGGATGGTCAGGTTAGGTAGGGGGGAGGGCATGGAGGCGGTGGAGGAGGACATCAAGGATGCAGTATGGAGGAACCTATGCGTCTTTGAGGACACGTCAGACGTTGCCGATGAAGGAGTGCCAATTGATGGCAGATTTGTCAGCGGCGAGTTGCAGTTTATCAATAGAGGAGGTATCTATAGGAAGAGGAAGAGGAGAGGAGGAGGGCATGGGGTTAGCCATAAGGGATGGCTACGAGTGGACCCGCAGTGGTAAGGGAAGGGCGCGGGCGGTGGCGGCTTGGCGAAGTCGCGGCGGTTCGGGCGCGGAGGCGGCGCTGGGGTTGCAGCCGCGGAGGGGAGGGCGCGGGCGGCGGCGGCTGGCGAGGCCACGGCAACGCAGGCGCGGAGGCGGCGACAAGGCCGCAGAAGGGAAAGGTGCGGGCGGCGGCGGCTGGTAAGGCCGCGGCAGTGCAGGCGCGGAAGTGGCGACGAGGCCGTGGAAGGCGCACGCGGCGGCGGCTGGCGCGGCCGCGGCGGCGTAGGTGCGGAGGCGGCGTGGAGGCCGCGGAGGGGAAGGGCGCAGGCGGCGGCGGCGGCTGGTGAGGCCGCGGCAGCGTAGGCGCGGAAGCGGCGACGAGGCCGTGGAAGGCGCAGGCGGCGGCGGCTAGCGAGGCCGCGGCGGCGTGGGCGCGGAAGCGGCGTCGAGGCCGCGGAGCGGAAGGGCGCGGGCAGCAGCGGCTGGCGAGGCTGCGGTGGCGCTGGCGCGGAAACGGCGACGAGGCCGTGGAAGGGCACGGGCGGCGACGGCTGGCCAGGCCGTGGCCACGCAGGCGCGGAGGCGGCGACGAGGCCGCGGAGGGCGCGGGCGGCGGCGGTTGTCGGGGCTGCGGTTTTCCACAGCCACCCTGCCTCCCCCCATCCCCTTCGCTGCTTCCCCCCATCCCCTTCCATGCTTCCCCATGCCCCCTTCCCTGCTTCCCCCCATCCCCTTCCCTGCTTCCCCATGTCCCCTTCCCTGCTTCCCCCCATCCCCTTCCCTGCTTCCCCCCATCCCCTTCCCTGCTTCCCCATGTCCCCTTCCCTGCTTCCCCCCATCCCCTTCCCTGCTTCCCAATGTCCCCTTCCCTACTTCCCCCCATCCCCTTCCCTGCTTCCCTATGCCCCCTTCTCTCCTTCCCCTCATCCCCTTCCCTGCTTCCCGTGTCCCTTTCCCTGCTTCCCCCCATCCCTCCTCACATGTCTTGCGGAACCCTGCTCTGCACTTTGCCTGTCTGCATCTCTGCCTGCGTTTGAACTGTGTGCGTGTCATTCTGCCTCCGTGCATGCCTGCGTGTGTGCATGCCTGCGTGTGTGCATGCGTTGACAGTATGTGTGTGCGTGTGCGTGTGCACGTCCACCCAGGACCTGATGCCATTCATCGACCGTGACTCTGTGGGAGGCGCACCCGGTGCAGATGGGGAGGTGCGGCCGCCCAAGAAGCTGCGTGACTTGTCCACAGAGGGGAACTGGGAGCGGGGGTGGTGGCAGTGGGGAGCGGTGAGGAGGACGATGAGGAGCAGCCATGCGTGGCGCTGGCGGCTTCCATGGAAGGGCACACAGAGGAAGAGGGGGGCGAGGTGGGAAGGTGGGCAAGGTGGGGAGCAAGGTGGGGACATGGGCCCATGCAGGGCAGCAGGGACGACGCCTCTCGTGCGGCAGAGGGTCAGGAGCAAAAGGGGCGTGGGCAGGAGGGGCAGTGGAGGAGGAGGTTGAGTTACCAGAGGAGCCATCAGTGCGCATTCCTGCCAGCCGTCGCATTGCCAATCGCTGCCCGGATGGCACTCGGCTGCAGTGTCGGTTCCGGGCCCAGGCACTCTCTCCACGTGCTGTCCCCATCCTTCAAAACAACTTGCATTCCACCCATCCCACGCTTGTGCACTGTTCTTCCTGCCATGCTCATTCCCTTGCTCTTCCACTCACTCCCTTGTTCTCCCACGCCCCACTCCCCACCCCCCCAGCTGCTGGAAAGCATATCTACGACTGGATCCGCCCCGAGACGAACCCCTTTACGCGCACCGCCAGGGCGGTCATGGAGCAGCAGCAGCCCACGGCGCACTTCGGCGGGTTCTGCGAGATATTGCGCACAGCTGGCAGAGCTGCGAGGCAGCCTCCTCTCGAGACTGCCTTCAGCCTCCCCTGCTGTCCGATACCGTATGCCGACCTGCGCCCGATAAGGCCCTGCATTTGATGTTGCCACCCTCCCTGCGTGTAAGGAGGGATTTGCAGCTGCAACGCGTGACAGCCAACACTGTGCAGGCAACAGTGTTGAATCTGGATCATGGGGCAAAGGCATTTGAATTGATTAGAGCTGTGTGGTGTGGTCAGTACGGAGTGGCGCGGGAGGAAGGCGCAAGAAGGCAATCCACAGTGAAGAGGCCGCGGCATGATCGAGTGGAGATTGGCAGCAGAGATCGAGTTGTGGGTTGTGCTTTGTTTGGTGCGAATGGTTTATAGGCTGAATTGGGTTTACCTGTTGGTGATTCAGGGTACAAGGGGTGTACTATGTATGCCCTAACTCAATCTTGACCCGAGCTCCAACGCGTAATAAGACACGAAGAAATGAGCTTGTGCCTAGCTGTGACATTCCCTACCAAACATACACAACATAGCCAATGTCAAGCATACTAGTTTTCAACAACATATAAAGGCGTGTCATACATGGTGAAAACACAGCTCGCAAATGAATGTTTAGGTTGGTACGTAGCTCTTCGAATCCGTGAAGCACACTTGCCGTTATAGAACCGGACACATCGTAGTCAGCCGCTTTGAATGAACTGCAAGTTCACCAAGCATGACACGCCCTTAGAGAAACAACTTGCTGTTGCCTATAAACTAAATCCAATTTCCCCAAGATACATTGTGAAATTTATGCGGAGCAACACTGAAGACGGTCGAGCTGAATATGTCCAGGTAAGCCCAGCAGAGAGGAGTGGCGGGGAGTGGTGGCGTCGGGCAAATGAAAGGACGGGTAGAGGGGAAATTTTGAGGGGCTCTCCTTGCTGGAGCTTTGCAATGGCTGATTCGCGGAGGGGGGAGAGGGGGAATGGGGGGGTCGTGGGGGGAGTGGGGTGGGGGGCAGAGGAGAAGAAGATGGTAAAGGGAGCTGAGAGAGGAGGGGCAGCAGGTTGACAAGCTGGCTCTCACTGCTTATTGTTGTGCGATGAGCAGCAGCGACCATATGCCGTGCGATGAGCAGCAGCGACCACATGCCGTGCGATAAGCAGCAGCGACCACATGCCGTGCAATGAGCAGAAGCGACCACATCACAAACAACCCTAGTGGGGCTTCGAGGGAGTTCGGGGGATGCAAATTGTGTTTCAGGGGGGTTTGCCGCGATTCGTGCCAAATTGGCCGGAAATTGGCGGGTGCAACCAAAGCGCGTCAAGTTGAAGTCCAAATTCGTCGAGCCGCGACAATTCAAAAATCGAGCTTCTGTTTCTGTCCAATTTCGGGTCAACAAATTGACCCATATGAGACCACTGTACAAGTAGTCTGAAATTGGACCATTAATGGTCTAACATTGGTCCTATCTTACACTAAAAATAACCATGGGTTAGTAACATAATTACATTTCATCAATGTCATTATAGCTTATAATTGAAACCTTCATTCAACAGGCAATGCTAGCTGCAATCGTAATCAAAAGGTTTTAAGCGACGACACCCTTCTCATGGATCTCCTCGCAGCATTTAAGCGTCCACATGCTACTGTTGTCCGTGGGGCCCCCAAGGTTATAGACATGTACAATGCAATAGCAGATTCATCCCCTAAGTTGATACTTGTTGATCAAATAAGCAGTGTCGCTATGGAACGCCTTGATAAAGTGCACCTCCCTATAAATTGAGCCGGCGTCGATCACGGAATAAAGTGATTGCCCGGGAGTCCAAGCAAGCCGGGTGCACCCAGATTTCGCATCCTCTCCCGTCCTAGTCCAGTACTTGACATATGCCAACTCCTTCTTGCAGCCCCCGACCATGGTATGGAACAGAAGCAGTAGCTTTCCATACCATTCAGTATTGCTCCCATCTCGCGCAGTCCCCTTGACAGCAACATCTGAGAACCATGGCCTTGAATATGAATCAGGGGCGGCTCTCACAAAATGAGCGACACGTGAGAAATGTTCTCCCTCAGCTGCCGGAATTGCCATCGTCGTGTGCGCCTTCAAAAACCAAATTTCAAAGGCACAGACGGCAAATCTGAATGCTTCGATCCCAACCTCCTGCAACTACGAGATGCATTGCAAAGGCAGCATCCCGCAGCCACCAACCGACAAACCAGCCACGCCGTTCTTGGAGGCTAGTGCCTGCCCAATAATCCACACCCGGGGGTAGGATTTAGGGAGGGAGGCGGGAAGGAGCAACGTGTTTGGGAGGAGGAGACGATACCAGGGTGATATGGGGAGGAAGGGAAATAGGGCTGGTGGCAGCTTGTGCGGCGAAACCCCTGTTTTACACCTGTTGGCAAGACGGAGATACAACGGATTTATGGCTGCATGGTACTGCTGGTTGCTTGTGCGACAGGGGAGGATTGCAACAAACACCTTTCCTTCCATGGTGCAGACCTGGATTGCAAAGGGATATGGCGAGGGGTGTTGGCGGCAGGGTGAGGGGAGCTCACGCTCCTGTGGGCTGGTGGGAGCTCGTGAGGCAGAGGTGGATTCAAGAAATCCCTCCATGCCCCATGTTGAGGGCCTGCAGGGCTGGGGGAGATAGGTAGCAAGGGGAAGGTGGCTGTGTGCGAGGAGCACATGCTCCCGTGGGCTGTTAAGGACCTCGTGATGCAGAGGTAAACATACGCTATGGGCTGCGATTCCCCTTGTGTAGAACCCGGGTGGCAGAGGGAGGTAGGGAGGAAGGGGGAAGGCGGTAGTGTGAGGAGTACATGTTCACGTGGGCTGGTAGGAGCTCATGATGCAGAGGTAAACCTTAAAATGCACTGCTTGGAGTTGTGTTTAGCACCCGGGTGGCAGAGCTGGGGTTTAGAGGAAGGGGAAAGGGTTTCGTGTGTGAGGAGTACATGCTCCAGTGGGCTGGAAGGAGCTCGTGAGTCAGCGGCATACACACAAAAAGGCCCCCTTGCCCCATGTTCAGCGCCTGGAGGGCAGAGGGAGACGAGTAAGAAGGGGAAAGATGGCAGGGTGTGAGGAGTGCATGTTCCCGCCTGCTGGAACGAGCTCGTGAGTCAGCGGCTTACATTCAAAAAGCCCCCCTTGCCCCATGCTCAGCGCCTGGAGGGCAGAGGGAGATGAGTAGGAAGGGGGAAGGTGGCAGGGTGTGAGGAGTGCCCGCTCCCGCCTGCTGGAAGGAGCTCGTGAGTCAGCGGCTTACATACAATAAGGCCCCCTTGCCCCATGTTCAGCGACTGGAGGGCAGAGGGAGATGAGTAGGCAGGGGGAAGGTGGCAGGGTGTGAGGAGTGCATGCTCCTGCCTGCTAGAAGGAGCTCGTGAGTCAGCGGGAAACATAGAATATGGGCTAAGAACCACATGCTTAGCACCTGGATGGCAGAGGGAGATATGGAGGTAAGGGGGAGGATTGCAGGGTAGGAATTGACGAAACTGAAGAGCGAGTAGTGCGCATTTTCCACGTATGGCAATCACAGGGAGATAGCTAGAGTGTCACCGTTGCAGAGAGGGAGGGAGGAAGTGAAAGCAGGAGGGCTTACCAGCAGGGAGGGACGTGAGGGAGGTAAGAAGAGGGAAGGGAGACATTAGCGAGCCGTAGATGCCCCTTCTGTGTGTGGTACGAAGTCTGCATGGTTACCAAAACGCTTTGCATGCGCTGTAATTGGCGGAATCGTAGGGTGCCAATCTCATACTGGTAAAGGGTTAAGTGCAAACCAAACATGCATGGGTTGATCAAGTAAGTCTGCAACGTGAGATCCTTACCCGAACCTGGGTTGGCGTCAGGCCCGCACGTGCTAGTGCCGCCTTGAATGCGGCATGTGCCTCGGGGTGCTGCTCGCTCCACCCTCTCACGAAATTGTTGGGAGACTCGGTTGCCCCTGTTGGTTCTACTGGAAAGAAATGAGACTCCTTGGTCATCACACGGATGCCTTCTTCAATCGCCAGTAGGTAGGAAAGATGAGCTTATGATTGACCCATGCCCACAATCCTCACCAAGTGCGTGTAAGCATACGAACGTTCCTACCGTTGCCATTGCGGTTTCGCGGCCTTGGTCCGATTCATCGTCCTCCCACAAATCGAGACGCTGTTCGTGATGCTTCATGATCTGTACATTGGCGTTTCTTTTGTTTGTACGACGGTAAAACTGCTTCAAAAGAACGCTGTGCAAGTGCTCAAAAAGTTTCGTGCTATACTCTTGCACATAACCTGCCCTTCTAATGGATGCAATGAAATGCGTCATCAGGTGGGTTTTGATCAGGTTCCATCAGGTTCTGACTACTGTTTGGGAAATGCTTTCACCAACAACTTCACGAGCCTGGGTCAATATGGGGAGAATGAAAAAAGGACCAGCCATTATTCCAACGCTTGGAAGATGTACTCCAACACCCCCTCATTCAGCCGCTAACACAATAAGGCAAGTAATCTTTGCGTGCGCAGTGTCGTACCTGCGGGCTTTCTGCTCCAGCTCTCGTAGGCTGCCCTCGGTGTGTAGGGGGCTGTTGCAGCAGCTATACCAATCAAGGTAAGCACGTAACGCCTCGAGTTGTTCCGCCTCTAGAATATCTGCCACTAGGAAAATTAACACCTGCAACGATGTGGAAGTTGAATGGGTTTGAGTAAAGACAGGGGGACTCAAACGCCTGGCCACGCACATTGTCATGGGTTGTAAGAATGGGAGAGCCGTGGGATGTTGCGGGAGGAATACAAAGGGTGGGAGAAAGGATACCCACGGGCCTGCGCAAGCACACTAAGGGTCGGGGGAGGGAGAGATGGGGAATAGCCGTCGGTGGGATGTTGGGGGGATATGACATGGGTTTCAGAAAGGAGACCCACGGGCCTGCGCAAGCACACTAAGGGTCGGGGGAGGGAGATATGGGGAATAGCCGTCAGTGGGATGTTGGGGGGATATGACATGGGTTTGAGAAAGGAGACCCACGGGCCTGCGCAAGCACACTAAGGGTCGGGGGAGGGAGCGATGGGGAATAGCCGTTAGTGGGACGTTGGGGGGATATGACATGGGTTTGAGAAAGGAGACCCACGGGCCTGCGCAAGCACACTAAGGGTCGGGGGAGGGAGCGATGGGGAATAGCCGTTAGTGGGATGTTGGGGGATATGACATGGGTTTGAGAAAGGAGAGGCAGGCTTTGTTGATGTAAGTAGGGGTGCCACCGCACCATGCCGAACGTAAGAGAGTAATGGCATGGTGGTGAGATGTGGAGTGAATGGGACCTCGGTGGGATGCCCTATCGTCAAACTCATGAATGTGGGGGTTAAGTTTGACTTCAAGGCCAAACAGGCCAGTGAGAAAAGTGTGGGAGTCCTTTGGTTGAACAATGCTGAGGGGGTAAAAAGATTGTACCGTCTTTCAAGAGGTGGCACCAAGGGAAAAAAGCAAGTAGATAGAACATAACGGAGGGAATGAGGGGGAATGCATGTCAAAACCGGTTTGCAAACTAAAAATACACGGCTGGCCCAAAGACTTACCTGCATGACCGTCCTGTGTAGGAATGCTGGAACCGTTGCCGTGCTTTCAAAGTATTCCTTCGCCGGACACCGCATCGAGCTGATGCGAGTTGCTTCTTGGACCGTTTTAAGCCTCCTGTTGCGGGGGATTGAATAAGTGGTTGCTCGATTAGATGCCCAAAACAGTCCGCACTAAGAGTCACAACCGAGTGAGTGCTGGTTGCAAGATGCCTCCTGCCATGGCAAGATCCCTTGCCCATTGACCAAGAACGTACTTATAAAGCTTCTTCACTGCCCTCGGCACTGCTTTGCAAATGCACTTGATAATGTGGTCCAGAATCCCCAAATCCGCCATGTGCATGATATCCGGCATAACTGCTAGATAAGGGTTTGCCCATGGTTGGCCATGAATAGCCCATTGCCACAGTGTGCACTGCCAAACAATGTGACGCATTATAGAGTTCAGTGAATGTTTTAGCAGCACTGCACCGAAGTGACCATGCATTAACATACAACATAACATGGTCAACACAAGTAATACCATTGCACGAATCTCAAATCGTTGAAAACCAGCACCACTGAAAACGGAGACACTGATACTGTCCAGAAAACGGAGACAGACAACTATGCAACCGAATCTTTCGACCGCGCCCCGACCTGAAGACCCCTGGTAGATCTTACCTCAACGTCGAACGTCGAGTACTTCGATAGAGAGCTGTCATCATCAGATGTTTCCCCCTCCGCCTGCGACAACACCCACTGTTGCTGTTCTGGAGTGCGTACAATGTGTTCCATGTTCACCGATGAGAGATTGTCCTGCCACGATATGAAAAACGTACCGACAAAAGTTCGGCCACACTTTGGCCTAGAGACGAAAGGAGACCATGGTACAAAGGATCAGAATGAGACAAGCCAAAGTGAGCATAGGAGGCTCTGTGAGATGGAAACCATTTACCCCTGGCTCCCTCATCTAAGGGGCAGTGGGTGAAGGGGAGGAGGTATGAAGGGGAGTGGGGATCCGAATTTGGATATGCCAAGGGCTGGTGGGAGGTGCGGCACACTGGCCTTGAAAAGGATCTCGTTTCTGCATCGCACGACACCTGTGTGGCAGAGGGTGATAGGGTTGAGGATGGAAAGTAAGCGGAGATGAGGATTTCAGGTTTCTACAGGCTGGTGGCAGCACGTGCATCGCGATTTGGAAGGTAACCCGTACGCCCCTTACTCCACACCTGGGTGGCAGACGGAAGATGGGGCGGAGGGAGAGAGGTGGATGGGCGTGAGGATTTGTTGCTGCTCATGCGGCAGCATAGTGCGTGCGCTGGAACACCAACTCACTGTTTTACCCTAAATTACATTACCCTATCCACGTAGCAAATGCTGCAGGGCTTCATGCAGCGCCGGCCGGAGAGTGTGCATATCAATTTGCCCGACTCTGGGTAGTCACATGCCCACCCAAGCATCAGCGGTATCACCTTGTGCTCGACACCGTTCGCATCCTTCAGGAGTACTTTCCTGCAAGTCAAATGACACAAAAATACAAGAGACCGGCCTGAGAGTAGACAGTAGCCTCATGTCCTGGGGGGGGCGAACTACCATCAGACTGCTCATAAGTACACACTTATGACTGCAAAACATCTCATCTTACCTTTCTTTCAGTTGAACCAGAGGTTCCATCAACTTTGCCACGCAAGTGTTGAAGAGCTCAACCTTCAAGTCATTTGGCATGTCTTTGGGAGGTATAGGGAGTAGTGCTAGCAATGAATGCCCTGTCGGACCCCACCGCTTGGGGAATGGGATGTTTTCAAGAGTCATCATAACTGGATGGGCCTGCTTTTTGCCATTACTGCTGAGGTTCGTGACGTCGCCGCTATCACAGCGTCAAGGCCAACCATTTCCTGTGAGCAAATGGTGTGTTGAAAGCATCACTGAGTTTATAAGTGAAATCCATGTATTCACACAGTGGTGGATCTAGCCACCACATCTGAGAAAGACAAGCGACCGCATGGAAAAAAAAACCCCGAAAGCTGACATGGACAAAACACACTATGAAGCCACGTACTTGCGCCTCGTGCCACCATGTCCCAGTCTCTGCTGTGGTGTATGCACGTTGTCGACTGGTTGGGTCCACCTCCTTCCTTGGCCTGAAGCGGAATCCATGTGCGTTCTGTTTGGCAGACCACATGTCTGCCAAAGCCTAAAAAAAAACCCATAATAAGCAACTGTATGGCACACACAATGCATGGCAAGGATGAGTAACACAGTAGTGGGGCAGCCAGGTGGCATAGAGTACACGGCCAAACGACGAGGTAATTGCAGGCTGCAAGGTAACTAATGAGGAGTCTAGGCATGAGACAAATGCAGGACGAGATGTGAACATGGCCTTTAAACATGGGTACAGGGCAGACATAGCAACAGGAGAAGCCATACACCTGTCACAGTAAGTGGGACATGAGTGAAAGGTAAAAAAGAAATGGTAGAACGGCAGTGTGACATGGGTGATGGGAAGCGAGTCAAAGAAACATACATGCATGAGTTGGTTTGGCATACAAGAAATGAGCCGGGAGCATGCCAGGGAGACCATGTGACACGGGAGTGTGGCATGGTAATACTGACATGGTTTGGCATGAGCCGGTAGCATGGCAGTGTAGCTGGACGTATAAACGTCAAAGCTAGACATTGGTGCAACAAAGTGAGTCAATAGTGTTGTTCCGTGTGGTGACGCGTGAGCAATTAAGTGAGGCATGGGAGCAATTAAGAGAGACATAGGAGATATAAATGCGTCTAGGGATCAGATAAGTGGAACATAGCAGGAGGGAAGTAAGAATGATAACATTGCATGGCGACACGTTCTCGCGGCAGGGTGACATGGGAGCTGGGACGCAGCGACAAACAAACATGGCAGCGGGGCTTGGCAGGGAAGGGAATGGCTGCTCGAATACGAGAGAGTACGAAAACCAGACATGGCAGCAGAGTGTATTCATATAAAGGATACATGGCAGCAATGTAGAGAGAAGGGAAGGGAGGCATGGCAACGGGAGAGGGAGCATGGAAGGGAGAGATGGCGACGAGCTGCAGTTTTCAGTGAAGGCAGACAGCAGGAGAGAGAGTATGTAGTGCATACATGGCAGCAGGGTGTTGAGCCGGGAAGGGATACATGGCAGTAGGGGAGAGAGTAGGGACAGAAGAGATGGGTGCGATGGGAGAGACCAGGGAAAAGAGACATGCCACCGAGCAGGGTTGGGAGAGATGGCAGCGATGGGTGAGAGCAGGGTAAAATGACATGACAGCGGCCATGCGACGGGGTTCAGAGCAGGGAAGGGCAACATGTGCGAGCGGTGGATAGAGCATGGAAAGCAGAGATGGCAGCGGGGGAGAGAGCAGGGAAGTGAAGGTAGAGATGGCAGCAGGGGAGATGGTGGGGAAACGCCACATGGCAGCAGTGTGTTGAGTAGGGAAGTGAGACATGGCCGCAGGGGAGAGAGTATGGAAGGGAGACATGGCAGCAGGGGAGAGGGTAGGGAAGGGAGACATGGCAGCAGGGTAGAGAGCATGGAAGGGATACATGGCGGGAGGGGAGAGAGTAGGGAAGGGAGACATGGCAGCAGGGGAGAGAGTAGGGAAGGGAGTCATGGCAGCAGAGGAGAGAGTAGGGAAGGGAGACTGGAGAGATTGGAGAGAGGAGGGGAGGGAGACATGGCAGCGGGGGTGAGAGTAGAGAAGGGATACATGGCTGGAGGGAAGAGAGACAGGAAGGGAGACATGTGCGAGCGGTGGATAGAGCATGGAAGGCAGAGATGGCAGCGAGGGAGAGAGCAGGAAAAAGGGGACGGGACCGAAGTGGATAGAGACATTGGTTGACATAGAAACGACTTACGTGAAGTGGATTTCGGTGCAGCATGACCTGATCGGGCCAACCCTCGACCACGATGGTGGTTGTCATGTAGCCGCGCCCTGAGCTTGCCAGGTACTCGAGATGGAGCCTTTCAAGATCGGCAGAGTTGGAAATGTTTGCGTCGACGAGATTCTTCGCTGATTCGGGATGCAAGAGGAGTTGCAGTAGTCGGTTGGTATTCATCTTCGAGAGTCCGTCACCTCCATTAACATCGTCCACGAGCTGCAACAACTTGAGAAGCGCTGGGGTAATCTTCACAGCTGCAATTGGGAGCTGATGGATCAGATGTGCCCTCCCCGCAGTCTGGAGGCGGTGCAGGGGGTACAGACGGTCCCTCCTCCCCGGGCTCTGAGGATGTGGAGGTTGAGGGCATATCCTCTCTAACGCCCGTCTCCTCGTCGCCACCAGACACTGGTGATGGCATCTCAGCATCGTGATTGGACTCTGGATGGTGCGATTGCGGGCTAGCCGAGGTCAGGGATGGCATACACAACCCCGACACCTCCGTGAGTCGAAGGGTCGGGTGCTGAATGCTGTGATCGCCGTCCTCGCCATGGTGCGCATGGCGAGTTTCCACCTAGGTGCCTGCCCAGCACTGATGCATTTGCGCAGCATTTGCCGCAGACGCTACAGAAACAGGTCTCCGCGCAATCCATCTAATAGACAGCTGAATAGGAGGAGGGTTGACTACCATATGTAAATGGCGCGCATAAGTGTGTTTTAAACGCGGCAAACCCAGTGACGAGACTGCGATGTGGTACAAGGTGGTGGGCTCCTAACCAAATGGCATACGTGACCGTAAATGGTGTCATCGTCGAGGCCCGCCAACAGTGAAACGAGGCCGCTATACAAAGGAGGGGCGGGAAAACGCGCAGCATCGTAAGCAGAATGGTGACGGTAGACGTGGTTGATTATGTTAGGGTTACGCACGGCTTAGTGCATGGGAATGCTAAAGGAAAGACAACTTGCGGGAACTTGAATTTGAATCCTAAAATCTATACCCTTTATAGATGCCTAGCGTATGCGCAGGGGTGAAAAATTGAATACCTATACTGTCAGAATTGTGCGTTTGAGAAAATAACCATCTTTTATTGACACCACGCCATAGGGGAACAACCCCCTACCCTTATTGGGATGGTGCGTACGGGACACCCAGTGTCGCCAACCCCGAGTCGCCGTTCCGCATGTGTGAAACGAGCAGGTAACGGGTAACCTAACCCTAATTTTGCCAACTCAGAACAATGCACAATCGGCAACTCGTGGTGGCTGCAGCGTGGCTCGCCAGAGTTGCCCGCATGTGTTACCACCGCTATTAGGTGCTTCGGGCGGTCCATTCGTTAGCCCCACACCTCAACACGTACGAGGAACTTGCAATGGCAGCACGAGTCGTGCAAACACCTCACTTAGAAAGCTGCAACTCTTCTTACGCACAGCTCGAATACTATAGCGATCGGTGCGCCGTGTTCGCGCGCATCACCCGGTAGTGCCGCGCCGAAAACTGGTACAACATAGGGTCTGTCTGACCATTACGGGTTCAATGAGCGACGCTGTCGGTACCAGCCTCGCAGATACCCCGAGTGACATAAAGTGCAAGACTCTTGCAAACTATCACATTCTCTTTAGGATTCAGCTTGTGTTTGAGATCGTTACTGATTGTAGCCTAGATGAAGCGGAAAAACACATATTATTCCCGTACTCAGAAGATCTCCCCCGCCGACTAAGTCCTCCGCCGATGGAGTCGCAGGAATACTCGGACGACGTTACCCCGCATGCGCAGCCTGTCAACGCGCTGCATACCATGGCCGGAGGGCGAGAGGCGCACGGCGAAGAGACGTTCATTGGTATGTTGAGAATGATCAACAAGGCACGTGGATATGGAATCGACACTCAGGCACTGTTCCAAGAAGAACATGAAAAGATGCTGCTTGAAGAATACATGAAGAAAGAGGAGCAGGAGGAGCGGACGCACGCCCCGTCACCAGTTGCTGCGGATCCATTGGCTGCTGCCGATGCGACTTCAGCGCCTTCTAAGCATGATCCAGGCCCGTCACCTATAGCCGCAGGGTGCGATGCCGAACCTACCGCTGAGCCGAAGTCAGCCCCGTCACCACTCGCACCTGCCCGCGAGGGTGCTGTTGAAGCTACCATGGGACCAGATCTTGGGGAAAAAAGCGGAGGCAACCAGCCTGCACCCGTGGGCGCGCATGCCAATGCTACCCAAGCCACTGCGGATAATGGCGACGTGGGTGAGGTGTGCGGCCATGCCCAGACGCCAAGGGAGATGCAGCGTGGTAAGCTGTAGTTTTCCGTTAGATGCAATCTTCCAAACAAATGGAAACGAACCTGTTACCTGCCTAATGTTTCTTGCATGATGTACTATTGCGCAGGTGTGCTCCGCACCATGGTGGATGAAGGGACTGCCATAGCTGGGGTCCACCTTGCTGCGAGGTTTATCACGGTCATAGAGTATGTGGTGGGAATCAAACATGTTTGATAAAGATTTAGTGTTAAGATGGAGCAGGTTTTAGGTCTTGAATCTGAACAACTGGGCAGATTTGGGATGAAAAAGGGGCTCCTTAGGGGTCTTGGTTTAGCGTTTGTTTGTTATGTTACTAGCAGGTATATGTAAGGCTTGTAGTGCCTCATCCCTATGACCAAATCTATTGGAGCAGCGTATGCTTGGTGATTCCCCAAAATGTGCAAGAGCAGGCTGTATGGTAGGTAGTTTCACATTTGCTTGCCGAACAAGGCCTGATAAAGCTCTAAAAACTTACGGTGAAGGGTTGAAAAGTTAGGGAGGTTGTGGAATAAAAGCCAACTCGCGGTTGCTATTAAGTTTTTTTCTTGTTAGAGATATGTAAAGCTGTATTATGCTTAACAAGACCATGCTTAGTGAGGTTGCGTGTGTGGCATCTATGCCGAGCTGTCACGAAATGCAGTTGTCATTGGCCGAATAAATAACCACAGGTCGAAGGCATCAAATCAAACAGTGCTGCGCATTGTTGGCTTCTTACGCGGGGATGTCGCATTTCCTCGTTACGTTGTGCTAGCACGCAAAACAATACAGCACTCCTGTGCGTGAATCCCGTCAGACCGTTGCATGCGCATTAAATGCTGGCTCCGATTTTCAATGCGTTGGCAACTACGCGCCTCAAAAATTGGGACCGCCAACCTGTTTTTGCTGCTGAGATGGAAGTGCTGCAGAATGTGCCACACATTCCAGTTTGCATGAGTGGTTACTGCGCAATGCTGGCAGAATCGTGGCACTCAGCGCAGCGATCAAAGGCGTGGATTTGGGACACTAGGAGATGTTGTTCGGCCGTTTTGATCATTGACGGTCCCAACGTGTTTGTTTTCTTCTGAGATTTCTCATGTGTTGGCAACGCCTACGCAACTTCAGATTCTGCGCGTGATGTGTTTGCTGAAGACCAAGGGCAGTACTGATATATCACGGATAGACGAGGGTTTAGCGCAAACGGATTAAATCACCTTGTACTTGTTCTTTCTACTAAACTCTTTACACTAACAGCATCCAAAACTGCCTTCGTTTAAAAAGTTTTGTTAGAAGAATAAACTGTTTGAAAATGTCACAAGTCAAACATATGAGGCCCTCTCGCCCTCACGGACCTACAGTTTTCGATTATGTTAGTGTTCACAACACTGTTTGTTTCCAGTCTGGGTCATTTTTTTGGAGCCGAAATGTATCGCTCTTTGTGAGAGGGGATGAGTACCGCAGACACAAAGTTCCTGACTCTTGCTCACTCGGATGTTTGCTTTCCGATTTCAAGCCTCGCGATTGCATGTATAATCGGGAAACTAACCAGCCCCCTTCCTAGAAGTGAAGGGTCGGGGGTTGGTTGACCCAACCCGTGTGGGTCGCAACACGTCGTTAGACTTCTGGGGAAATTATAGGGTGATTGAGCTCGCGGAACTGGTAGTTAGCAGGGTACTTCCGCCAAACGCTTTACACGCCAGACCAGAGAAGTTGCTACGTTTCGAGTTTACTGAGTCCGTGCGTGAATTCCGTTTTCCAGTCTACTGAGACAGTGAGTGTATTTCGTTTTAGCTCGCTATCAATGCTTTTTAAAAAATAGTTCCACGGTTATGGGCAGTAAAATTTCCATCAAGGGGGAAATGTGATGCTTGAACATTTCAACAAGACTTGAAATGGCAACAACTTGCCCAACCTCAACAAAGTCTACACTTTGAAGTCAGGGTTCATGCTACAAGACCCGTTCCTGGTTCCAGGCTTTCACAGCAGATGTGCAATTAGAAATGTTGTTTGTAGGGAAAAATATAAAACCTATATTGCAGAGGGTTTGTTTTCGGAGACAAAAAAGCAAACGCTTTGGAAACTTTTGCAGCCAAATACGCCCTGAACAGAACTACCCCCACCCCTCGAACAACACGACTGATGGGGTCTAGCACGTCAGTCCCATTCTACAAGCGCAACCATAGCTGTGTGAGGTTTTCCAAGCACCTCCTTCCTTCTGGGGCCTGCCCTCTAGCTCAGACGTGCATTCAACCCCTTCATGTGTACCGCGCGCGCAGAGATAACGTGCTGCACAAAAGTAACACGCATCTACACGGTGGCACGATTTCGAGCACCATGATGTTGGCGCGCATCGAGTGAGCCTTTGCTGACCTGTCGGTCTTTGCTAAGTTTCATAGTCACAAGCCACGCCAGCATCAGAAGATGGTGTCATTTTTTTGAATACATAAGTGCGTTGTGCCATAGCTCTTCTGTGTTCTGGATTGCCTCTTCGTTGTCTGCCACCTCCATCGTGATACCTTCGTGTTCTGAGTGTTGTTTGACTCACCTTTTCACTACGCATTTTTCCACACCCACCGTATTTACAAATGGCTGCCAAGAAGAAACATCACCAGGATGATTCCCACGTGCAAGCCAGCAGGGATGAACACGACTTGAAGCGGTCAAAGAACTCGGCTGGCAAGAACAACGTGCGAGCCAGAGTGGAAGTTAAGCATGTGTGTAGCGCGAGAGTGATGGGCTATGGCTGCATACATTGCGTGAGATGTTGTATGTTTGTCCTCATGTGCTAATGCAAGATGTAGGCATTTATCCAGGTTGGTGTGAGGCTACACAATCGGTGCGACCATGTGGTGATGCTATGGTGTGTCATTGAACTTCGTTGCAAGGAGCTAGAGATGCCCCCAGCAAGACTCCAACGTACAGGGTTGTCAAACATTGCATGTTTATATTGTGTAGGCTGTAGTGGGTTACACCTTAGGGGGTACACAAAGTTAGGGTTTCCTACTTGTACCAAACTCTGTGCTAGTTCATTCCATTCCTGCTCAGTTATTTCTGACATGGTTTCAGAGCAGGTCCTTCGCTAGGACTGTTCTTAGGGCCCACCGACTTACCTACCTGCTTACCTTCGCTTGTTTCCGGCCCCGCTGGCCCCGTCGATCTAGCACGATCTAGCGGCCCTGCGGCCCCGTCGAACTTTTTTTTTTTCCTAGCGGCCTCTCACGGCCCCCGTCGCGTCGCCCCTTAGCGCCCCGATCGGCCCCGTCACGCCGCCCGCGAACCGCACAGCGCGCCGCGCTCACAGCCCGCGAACCGCCCACGCACAGCCCGCGAACCGCCTGCGCAGCCCGCGACCAGCCCGCGCAGCCCGCGCACAGCCCGCGAACTGCCCGCGAGCAGCCCGCGACCTGCCCGCGAACCCCCGCGAGCCGCCCGCGACCCGCTTACGCAGCCCGCGAGCAGCCCGCGCAGCCCGCGCTGAGCCTGCGCGGCTCGTGCGCTGACCGCCGCCGGCCCGCACGCTGCCCGCACGGCCCGCGCGCTGCCTGCTCCCGGCCCGCCGCTGCTGAGCCCGCAGCCGCCCGCGCACCGCCGCTGCTGAGCCCGCCGCCGCCCGCGCACCGCCGCTGCTGCGCCCGCCGCCGCCCGCGTATCACCGCTGCTGAGCCCGCCCCTGCTGCGCCGGCTCTCGCTGCCGCCTGCTGCGCCTGTGCACCACTGCAGATCCTACTACTACACTTCCTGCTACTGCTGCTTGTGCGCCACTACAGTCCGTAGGCCCCACCGGCCCCGCTGACCCTGCGCACGCCTTTTCAGTGACTTTACTGCTTCTACTACTGCCGCTGTCGCTATGGCTAGTCCTCCTGTTCTAGCTTTCGACGCCGAGGGCCGTCCGGTCAAATTCGAAACCTGGCTAGATGACCTGCACCTTTTCCTACAGCTCACTGCCAAGGAAGATATTACACTGTACGACCACGCTCTCGGCCATGCGACCGCCCCACTCGCTACTGCCCCCCCAGCTGAGCGCTCACAGTGGCAGACCCGTGACGCGCACGCTCGCTTTGCTATTCGCAACTCCCTGCCGCTAGATGAGCGCGAGCACTTCGGCCAGTGCAAGACTGCTAAGGACCTCTACACAGCTGTAGTGGCCCGCTACTCCTCACCCGCTTCTGCCACGCTAGGCCGCCTCACTCTCCCCTACCTGTTCCCCGACCTAGCCTCCTTTCACACTGTCGCAGACCTCATCACCCACCTTAAGACTAGTGAGGCTCGCTTTCGCGCTGCCATGCCTGACGAGTTCCTCGCTAGCAACCCCCCCCCGCTCTGGATCACTCTCTACCACGTTGTCACCCGCCTCCCTGACTCTCTGCGCCCTGTCAGGGACCAGTTCCTCTCTCGCTCCCCCACTGAGCTCACCGTAGACCTCCTCGAGAAGGAACTGCTTGCAGCCGAGGCTAGTATCGTCGCTGTAGGCACCTCTCGTGGCGACCCCCGCGGCCCCTTCTTCGAGGGGTGCTCCCCTTCCCCCCTCCTCCCCTCTGTCGCCTCTGCTGCTGCTGTCGACCTCCTTGGTGCTGAGAAGGTCGGGGCTGCGTCTGCTTCAGGCGGACGACGCAGGGGCAGGAGTGGCAGGAGTGGGGGTGGTGGCGGAGGAGGCGGGGGTGGAGGTGGTGGCGGTGGAGGTGCGACTGGAGAGGCTAGTGGCGGCAGTGGTGGAGGTGACAGCGGCGTTGGGAGTGGTGACAGGGGCGGAGGTGGCAGCGGAGGCGGAGGTGGTCGTGGCAGCGGCAGGGGTGGAGGTGGCCGGGGCGGAGGCGGAGGGGGTGGTGGTCGTGGAGGCCCGGGGGGCGGTCAGAGTCAGCAGCCTGCCCCGACCCTTCAGGCCGCCCGTGAGTGGTATGCGCGGCGCAGCGTCACCTGCCAGTACGTTATTCGTACAGGTGACCGCACTGGCCAGACGTGTGGGGGGCCGCACCAGACGGAGCGCTGCTTCGCCCGCCTCAACGATGCGTGGCGCACCCAGTTTCCTGGTGGGGGTGAGCTGCCGCGCTGGGCTGAGCTGCTCAGGAAGGGTGTTGATATTTGGGCACTGGACTTTGATGCTATTCTCACTGCCATGTATGCAATGTCTATTAGTGGAGAGGGTGCTCAGTACTTGCGTGTTCCGCCCGACCCGGGCATTCAGGCCAGCCCCGCTGCTGCTCTAGGTGCTAGTGTGTCTGCTTCCACAGGTACTACTGCAGCTGCTGCTCTAGGTGCTTGTGCGTCTGTGCCCCCTGGTACTGAGTCGACTGCAGCACTGCACACCTTCACACTGGACTCAGGTGCTTCTCGCTCTTTCTTTCGTGACCGCACTGTCCTTGAGCCTCTAGCTCGGCCGGTTGCTGTCTCTCTTGCTGACCCCTCTGGGGGTCCGGTCCTTGCGACCTCCTCCACCACCCTTCCGTGT